ATTGAAATAAAAAGAAGGAACTAACAGAACATTATGTAAAATCATATCAGGCCTGAGTTGTATAGATCCAGTAGATATGACTTTCACTTTATATCCATTAGGCAGAATTATTAAGAAAGGAGTAGTGAGTGGTGTTAAGTTGATTAAAAGGTGTTTGTATGGTGTCATGTGGTTGGTAGCACCTGAATCTAGAATCCAAGGATTTGAACCTAAGTTTGAAACTACACATGCATGGAAAGCAGCAGAATGTACTTCAGGATGATTAAGCACACCTGCAAAGTGAGCAAAACCAATGTTTTCTGAACCAAGAGTTTCAGGATGTATGATAGGAGGATGATTCAGCTGTTGAAAAGGGGTCATGAGATGGTCATATTGCTCCTTGCTGAAGCCATGACCAGTGGTCTCAGAAGGCTGTTCATTAATGTGATTATGATGATGAAAATGACCTTCAGATTGCACACAAGCAGCAGACCTTTTGCCTTTGGTGAACTTGAAGTCAGGGGGAAACCTATGAAGTTTGTAACACTTCTCAATAGCATGACCAGTCTTTTTGCAGTATTTGCAAGACAATTGAGAGGAAGAACCTGAGCCTCTCTTTTGTTCAAACTGGAACCTTTGAGTAAAAGATCTAGCAGGTGCCTGAACAGGGCTGCTAGAAGCATTGAATGAGGCTGACTCATTTGAGAAGCTGGAGATAGGAGCTGAAGTCTCCTTTTGCTTTTCATCATGTTGAAGCATAGAATAGGCTTTGCTTAGGGATGGAAGGGATGGCATCATCAGAATATTACTCTTGCAAGTGGAATAGGACTCATTTAAACCACTAAGGAATTGGTATATTTTCTGTTATTCAATGAATTTTGGTAAGGCTCCACAAGTACACACTGGTCCTACATAGGCAGTATTAAGTTCATCCCAAAGACCCCTCAATTTTGTAAAGTAAGTGGCAATATCTAAAGGACCTTGGGAAGCAACACTGATTTCCCTTTGTATTTGAATATATTTTGAATCATTTGATGTACCAAATCTTTCATTAATATTATCCCAAATGTCTTTAGCAGTATCAAACCCCATGACACTGTTTGCTATGTCTTTAGATAATGAATTTGTTATCCATGCAATTACCATGTCGTTGTATCTTTACCAGAAGAAGTAATAAGGAAAGTCAATTTGAGGTTTAGTAATTTTTCTAGTTATGAGCCCTAGTTTGTTCTTAGCAGACATAGCAGTAAGTATATTTTTGCGCCAAATAACGAAACCATTCCCATCGAAAGGTGGAGATACTAAGTGTGCACCAGGACTATCAGATGGATGTACATAGAATGGGTGAGATGGATATATAGTAAAGTCATCAAAATCATATAACACGGAATCAGAACTAACATCTGGACTTCCCATGATTAAACCCTAGAATTGTAAAATTCCTAAAACTGATAAAAAAAATACTCGATTTTCACCAATATGCAGCATGATTAAGGAGAATGTTATACAACCTAAAGAAGGTAAGGTCTTGAGACAGAGTTAACCGCTGAAATCAGTGAGAATGAACAAGTACCGGAGAGCTTCAAAGGAAAACACCAGAAGTCATCGTGAAAAGTTCAAAATGGCTGCAATGCACAACTAGAAAACATCGTAGCCCAAATCTCCATATCAAAACGCGAGAAGAGATGGAGATCGACGGAACAGAAAATCTCCATGTAAATCGATGATGGTACCATCGGTCGAAAGAGGAGAACAAGGATCATCGATTCCTTGCTCTGATATCATGTTAGTGTAATAAATCGAAAATAGAAACCCTAATAGAAAGAGGGAAGAGAGAGTTTATTTCATCGGAAAATGTACAAAAGATACAAAAATGAATCTGATCTCTTTCTAGACAGTTCTCCTATTATATATACATGAGCTATTAGTAAAAAATACATGGACTAAAATGTAAGAAATGAAAGTTGTAATAAAGCTAAGTGGGATGCCGGGTATCAGCTATTATTGGGTCAGGATGGGCTCCCGTTAACATCCATTCCATAAAAGACCCACTTCACAAACATAAATTTCAAGAAGTTAATTCATACACAAATGCAAGATACCCGGGAGAAATATACTTATACAAACACAGAAAAAAACTGCTATTTAGCAAAACCATAAAATTTCAGCCAAAGAAGCTTGGGATTAGATTTTTAACTCTCTTCCTCCATGTCAACTTGCTAATCCTCGAGGAAGCCAGGAAGGGATTTTCCCATATAGTGGAGTGTGACCAAGAAATAATATTTTTATTGTTTGTTTCCACAAAAAGATGGGTAAGGCAGAATCAAGAATTAAAGGAGATAGGGACGATGGGATGTGTCAGAAGGGGGGAGATCTGGTCGTTGAAGAAAAAGGAAAAAATATAAGATCCTGATACGTGTCACATAAATAAGGGTTGGCAGAAAAAATTTCAGAAGGTTATGTGCTTATTTTTTTTGGTTAATCACAGCATGTCACGTAGCCAAAGTGACATGTATTAGACACGCATTTGGAAAGATTTGGTGTATAAAATGATTCCCTGGTAAACGGGTGTGAAAAGGATATTTGGATACAGTTTTAGAGTGTAAGCTAATAATAATAATAATAATAATAATAATAATAATAATAATAATAATAATAGTAATAGTAATGTTGTGTATATAGACTTATATTTTCTAATAGCTCCTAATATGTCTACGTTCTTAGGAAGAAGATCTAATCAAAAAAACCTCAAAGTATAAGATATTATTTTACTGTTAATTTATTGAGATCTAGCAATCACCTTCAGTCAAAATCTATAAAAAGGTTGCTTTAATTTTTGAAAAGAACATTTCAAAAATAAAATCACATTAAGACCACTCATAATGCGAATGCAATTCAGATTATCAAACGCTTAACTTTTATTTAATATGAATGCAAAATATATATCCAAACCAGTGTTTTAAAAGGCGTGGGCGTAAGGAGAGGCGTTTTATATATGTCTCAGCGAGGCGTAAGCCCCGAGGCACGGAGCGTAAGCCCCATAGGTATTTAATTTTTAATATTTTATAAAATAATATA